GAGGGAAGGGCTTACGGTTGGCAGCATCTCGGGCAGGCGGGCGTCGAAGCCTAACTCCAGGGCGTTCATCTTCTCGTCCACAACAACTACAGGTGTATCAATGGGTAGGCCGATCATGTATTCCTTACCGCCGCGTGTCACGAGCTGGGGGGGGGGAGGAAGGGAGGGAAGAACGGAGGGAGAAGAGGGGCGAGGAGGATGGGGAGGGAGGAAGTTGGAGGCAACCCTAGGCGACGACTTTGCAAGTGATTCCTAGACAGTCGCACCAACACGAAGTTAATTGGAGAAAATGGGGAAAGTATGTCTCAAGGCCCATCTCAATATCCCGCCTTTCTTTCCCCCGCTCCTCATCTTCATGACCTCTCCTTCAAGTCCTTTTTTGTTACTTACCGTCTCTGCCGTGCAATTTATTGTCGCCTGGTTCTTGCTGTCTGCAATCAGCAAGAATTCAGTCTCGTCGTCTTCGTCCCAGTGCCGGATCTGCATCTACAATTGAGGCAAGATGCGAGGGTGGGGGAGCAAACAAGGGGAGAGAGACTTTATTCCACTAGACGCAACCATTGAGCAGCGGACAAGACGGTTTGAATTATGAACACTGGCGTACACCTATTTCCATCTGACCGCTTACCTCTTGGGGCGCCTTTTTCTTGTCGTTACCCCCCCCTTTTCCCTTCGCCATCCAAAGGGGCTCGGGGATCAGTGCCCGAGTGCCTACGCCCCGGGTGAACCATGATTAAATATCAATGTAGTTGGAACATGAGTGCGTGATACAAGAGCGATCTACGTGCTAGAAATCCCCACCAAATGTAAAAGCTTACTTGTTGTTGCCGACAAGTGCTGCCCGCATTGCTGCTGCTGCTGCTGCTTCGAGTGAGGTGCAAAAGGCAAGGCCGGACCCCAAAATGCAAAGGACATGGAGGGGGCCAAAGAGGCCATGACCATGTAGAATTTCATGACCTGCTTGTGATCATGTGTCTTTCCGTGAGTCTGTGAGACGGCTTGGGCATTTATCGCGGTGGTTGACGTGTGGCACGAAGTCGAAGGAAAAGAAGAAGAGCCTTGAATATCTCAGGAAGGCCGTTGATTCGCTTCCTACAGAGTCCAATTTTTCCTCCACACATTGTTCCAAAAAGCAATGAAGCATCCGTGTCTCACTTGAAAAAAAGTCGCGAATGCACTTGGGTGCATTCCCGTGCCACTTTAACTCCCGCTTGTTCATCTTTCACCCAACTAAGCCTTCTGTCAACCTCCCGGTCACCAAGCACAATTCACTCTATCAGGTCTAACATTGTTCAGGCACGCACAGCCTCGTCATCGATGGCGGAAACGGCATAGAAATTTGAAGCAAAATGCTTGGTTTTCTGTAGCAGGGAAGCCCAGATATCTTCATTCCCTTCCCGTATTTGATCCTAACATGTAAATGTACTCACCCAGGCCTCTGTGACCATCCCTCCTGCCAAGCCATTTATGTTGGCATCCGTACAACATGATAGGTGAAAAGAAAACAATGCTTACAGTGAGCTAAGAACAATAATTTTGGGTTATTTCCTTCACAACTCCACATTCAATCCCAAATATGGCTACGTATAAATAATAAACAACTTTCTTTCCTCCTCGTGCAGGCGCTTCAATTGTTTCACACAAGAATTTTATCGCACACCGCTCCTCCCCAGGATGTCTCCTTGTCTTACTTTCTACATATAAGGCTGACTTAATGGGGAAAAATGGACGCGAGAGCCCACGAAAACATCACGTCTTCGTAGCTTGCAATATAGATATAAATAGAAAATATATAAATCAGTTCTGTAAACCCATAGAGCAGCATAGTAAGAGGCCGCGTGCGAGGGATATTGTCTGGTTGACATCTTGATGGTGTCAACATTTCCCTTATCGCACCCTGTTGCCACTGTTTGCTTAGGCCGTCGCGCACTTGCTCTCGAGCGCGGCGCGTGCTCCCGGGCATTTGGCATCCAATGCAGAGGCTCGGCTCTCGAGGTCCGTGACCTTGACGATGCGGTTCAACTCGCCAAAACAGCAGCTGCTGTAGTAATCGCATTTCGTCTCCAAGTCGTCGGGCTTGGCCGCGATCTCCGCCATGACCAACTGGGCACAGAATTGACCGCCAGCGGATTTGGAGCACCCAAACTCGGCTACAAAGCCATCAAAAGTGACCGGCATGTCCTCGTCCTCGTCCTCATCCTCGTCAACGTCGTCCATGGGAGTGAAGGTCGCCTTTTTGCTGTCGCACCAATTGCGCCATTCGGTCACGGCCTTGTCGAAGCTGGGCCCACAGGGGGTCGCGCAGAAGGCTTCCAACGCCTGGAGGATAAGGAAAAGGGGAGCACAGTGAAGGTCAGAGGTGTGGATTCAGGGTGGGAAAATACCAGCCACGTCAAGAATATTCTGAGGCGATCCTAGATTGGGAAAGCATAGCAGCTCGTCATTTCCTGTCACAGAGTTTCCAATTTCCTCTCACAAGTTCTCGGCTTTCCACGTCCCTACCTTGACCTGGCCCGCCAGGGGCATCAGGTTGAACTCAGCGGTGCTGATGGTGTCCGAAAACGTAGTCCATACCGCCCCACATTTGGCGTCCTCTGCCAGTGCGTCGAGGCTGGCGTCCAACTCAGTCTGCGGCGGGTGAGCGGAAGGGATAGGGTATTGACGAGGAAAGAGGATGCTTTTCATTGAGAAAGTTGTGCGACGAAGGATCCGACTGATACCGACTGTTCCTCTTGTACCATTCCACATTTTGAAAAGAGAAATTAAAGACTCTTTTGAACATTTATTTTTCACTCACCGCATTGCACGAGCGCGCCACCATGGGAGTGGCAGCGGCTTGTAAGCCCCGAAGGGTAAGCGTCTCGGTGGCAGCAGCCCCGGCGGCAAACATAAGGAGGCTCATGGAGGCCATGTAGGACTTGTTGAAGAGCATGGTTGAAGAGGTTTTTTTGAAAGGTTTGCTTTACGTGATTAGATGTGGTACAAACATAAATGAGTGTGTGATTGGGCTTTCAATTTTGGTAGTCATTTTTTGTACAACGGCGCACATGTTTGTAAGGAATCTTGCCATTAATCCGATTATGGATCCCAAACATGAATTAAAATGAGGATCTGATGTGAGATCGGATTCGGATACTACGTAATAAAAAATTTGTAGCTTGTATGTTAGATTGAATTGTTCATCGTGACGAAGGATACAAAGAGCTGAAGCTTATCCGAAACAAGAAATCATAAATAATGGGAAGCAAACGAAAATTCTACACAACGAACATGCACACAGCTCTGCAGCGTCCCTGACGAGACGTTGAACGTCCTTGTTCCGAGAGAATCCCCCTTGAATACCCGCTCAGATGTTGAACATCCCTGTTCCCACTAAATTCCCCGCAAGCACCGGAGGAAGCTGTTCCGCTGCATCACGCGGTACCAAAACATGTTGCCAGAATCTTTGAAATCTTTTCGAGGAGTAACCAATTTGATAGTTGAAGAGTAGTTTAGACCGTTTATTGTGTTTTTGGGACACATTTCGCACTGATAGTCACATTAAACATGTACATCAAGGTTATCTAGTTATGGCTGGAAATATCCAAACTTGACAATTTCCGCAGGGAATCCCCCAATATTTTTTGGGCTCGGTATAGCTCGTTAGAAAAGCCTCAATCCGAAATCCCTATACGTAACTGGAGTAAATCAGAAACAGCATTTGGTGACATATGAAAACGGGTTTCCAAGGAGTTTCCAAGGGGCGTTTCACTTGCAATTGCTCTGGATTTTGTGCTTTTTCATGTGCTTAGCGTTCTACGTCGGGGTAAACATTGATAAGACAGCTTCCGTATAGCACCGGCGGCACGAGAAATCGATTTCTCCATGACTGTTTCTTCACTTTCACACGGCGGGGATAGCGTATCTGGATCATTTCGTGTACTTCAATCGGGCGAGAAATGTCATTTTTTGTAAATGACAAGTGCCACGAGGTCCTACTCGCATACTCCATGCTCTATGAGACCTTATCCTCACGCATGATATATTCACAACTACGACGTGTGAAGACAGCCTACCTTTAAAAACAGTAAAAACAGGTCCAAATCGATTAAACATGCAGAGCATCGCCCGCTTGCTGTTCTTTGTTGCCTGTGTTATGACATTACTCACGGTGAGTTTCAGAATGCTTGAAAAGACATGCTGAGATCAATATCATGCGGGAGGAAGATTGATGGACTCAGCCATAAAAGATCAGCATGACAACTAGTTCTGTCGCAATATCAATCCGTCTTGCATCTGAGGACTGTGTCAAGAGTGGTCATGGTATAAGCTCTCGAAAATTGAAAAAACTCCACGCCGGTAGAGAGTATATCTGATATACATCACTGTTGTGCCTATCTTCATAAATATAGACAAGCGCGGCCGGCTCCGCCCACGGACACCGCGAGCTGCGTGGTGGTTTTGCTGGCAATGTCCGTCGCAACAATCGCGCCGCCCGGGCGGAGATGCGGAGCGATGCCGGAGGGCGTCGCTTGGAGAATGTGGAGGTCATGACGACGGGGGTCGTCCACCCCCATCGAGTCTTGCGTGGTGGATTTGCCGGAAACGTCCGTCGCAACAATCGCGCCGCCCGGGCTGCGATGCGGAGCGATGCCGGAGGACGTCGCCTGTGAGCGTCCTTATGAGTCGGTGAAGGGGAAAAAAAGACTGCGGGAATCCCCAGGTTCAAACTTTATCCACCCCAATGCCACTCAGGATGTGCTTAAGAAGATATATATGATGCATGATTCTATACTACGGAAAAGCTTTTTTGACCGACAGGTGTCGAGACGACACGTATTGCCTTTACAAAAATTATGACGTGCACAAATTTGGACTCGAAACCTATGATTGGCTTTTCACTTGTGCAGAGAGGTGCTCTTGAAGAGGCGTGTGTGGAATTTGTAGTGTGCGGCGTAGAGCTCCACGTGAATACTACTAAACATAGCACAGAAGAAGAAAATCTCGACGATGTGAACATCTTCAATCACCAGACCGTATGTTGGAGACTGCCTTGCTATTTTTGATTCCTTGGGCACCCTTCACAACTCCTGATTACCGACTGACATAGCTCTCGGCAAGGGGGGGGGGAGGAGAAAGGAGTAGGTAAAAATCATTTTCTGTGGGTGAGTGTGAGTTGTCTGCATGCGCGGTGTGCTGCTTGTTTCATCGTTACCGACTTGTCCAAATCTCAACCCAAAAAAAAGGAGAAGAAACAAATAAACTTTTCTTCCTCGCTCAAAGCTTCCGCACATTCTCCTTTTAAATTCCAAGAGCACCACTCTTCCCGTAAAGTCCTTCACTTCGCCTCCTGTGGTTCTCTAAGCACACATCTACCTGAACCTTCCTTATGCTGCCTTGCCCGTCTTCCAGTTTCTCTCACATCTTACATTCTCTCGTTAGTACGATATCCTCTTCTCCATTTCCTTTCTGTCACCTCGTGTATTGCCCTCGCGTTGTATATGCACCACCTCTACCAACAACCTCGGTGCCCTTCTTCGCTCCCTCCGCGTCCTCAACCGGACACCTTTTCGACACCTTCAAGAAAATTCCAAGAACGTTCCAGCTTCACACCTCCTATTTCATGCAATCCATCTTCCGAGCAAGCAAGAGAGGCCAAGAACACACCCATGCGTCCTCGTCTGCACCTTCTCGTCGTCGACCTCTGTACAGTATAGCCAGCCTCAGCGTGAGGCGCTACTCTTTGTCCCTTTTCTTCTTAGGCACACTTTGTCGTTAAGGCCGCCGTCGTGCCCGGGCATTTTGCTTCCAGCATGGCTGCATGCGCCTTTAGGTCTGTCAGGGTCACCAACCGATGCATTTCTCCAAAGCAGCAGCTCGTGTAGTAGGCGCAGCGCGTGGCCGTGTCTTCCGGTTTCGCCATCAATTGTTCCATGACCAGTTTCGCGCAATATTCTCCGTTGGGACCCGCCGACTTGGTGCAGCCGAAGTTGGAGACGAATCCGTCGAAAGAGTACATGCCCCCCATACCCCCGCTAAGCGGCACAAACGACGCTCGGTTCAGGTCGCACCAGGTGCGCCAGTCGGTAATGGCTTTGTTGAAAAGCGGACCGCAAGGGGTCTGGCAGAATGTATCAAGAGCCTAAGTGTAAGGAGAGAAGACAGGCGGGAATGGGGGTCAGTACATGGAAGGCGGGAAAGGCTCTTAGTCTTCTCGACCGGTGGAGCGAACAAAAGACAATCAAGGAAGGGGATGAGGTTCGGTGTCTTCCAAGGCCGGCGATCCACCGTTATCAAGTCCATCCCGCGCATGCAGGTCGATGGCCGCCTTTTTCCTCTCCCTCTTTTCCCTTACCACCCCTACTGTGCACACAGCAAGGGCGGTACCTCTTATGCCTTCTCTTGCCTCGTTTTCATCCTTCTCTTTTGGCTAGACAACACCATGATGACCACATTCCCTATTTCCGTATCTCCTCGCAGTTAGCCTACCTTGACTTGATCCGGAAGCGGCAATCCACTGAAGTTCTCTCCCTCCAGCGTGGTGGAGAAGGTGGTCATGGGGGCTTGACATTGAGGTACCGTAGTCAAGGCGATCAGGCTTTGATCCAGCATGGTCTGTGGACGTGGAGGTGGTGATAAGTGTGATGAACCAAAAGACAAAGTAGTTTCCTCCGGACAAAAGGTGCCCTCCCCCCCCCTGGGAAAAGCTACCAGGCATTGAATGCCAAAGACCCGTATTAACATTGACCATGCCCGGCATGTCTGTCTGCAGAGACTTCGGACAAACATAAATCTATGCAACCCTTTGGCGGCGACGCATCCGTCGTACAGGCACTTACCATGTTGCACAAGGCCGATACCAGAGGTACGGGACGCGTCGCCTGCCCCGCACCAGCTTGTGCTCCCGGTTGCTGCATTCCTGGTTGCTGCATGCCC